GTTGAACTTAGCAAAACACAACAAAGAGAAAAGAAAAACAGAGACCCGAACCACACACCCTCGCTCGTGTCAGACAGAGTGCAGAAGCATTCGCTGCATGTTTTACTGAATGGAGTGGAATCCATAAGCGCAGTGAAGAGACGGCGAACTTCTGACCGACTTCAAACAGACCAAAGCTTCAATCTGCCGAGGATTCAAATCTCAGTAAGAGAAAAAAGATGCTGCGGGGGCTGTTCAGTCGGAGCAGGCTGAAGCACGAGCGACTGGAGGAGGAAGTGGAGGTGCGGTTCAAAGGGAAGCTGGTGTCGGAGAGAGAGCTGGGCTACATGTTCGTGCGGCCAGGAGGTAAGAGCTTTGTATACGCAAGAGTCCTGCTGAAAGTCTCCAGCTACACAGTCACAAATCACAATCACAACACTGCGTTTGTTGAAGAGAGGAGCTGACGGAATCCAGCACCCTCTGCACATGAGGAAGAGTGATGTGTTTAACATGGACAGTGTAGGTCTTACTTCCCATTGTCTGAAACCTTATTAATAGTGTTTGTAAAGGCATTATTATTGCCCTTACCAAGTATTCAACTATTAACAAAGTAACTCTTGCACTGCACTATTTGTGCTACAGACATGAACAGTACCTCAAATTGTGTGGTCTATTGAGGAGTGCTGTACTATTAAGTCACCAGATTTTGTTTTCATCTGGTGGATAATATAACAGGAAAATATTCCTTAGATTGACATTGAACCAGGGACAGGGGCCATATCTAGAAACCAGAATAGAGTCCTGCAGGAATGAGTCCAAAACCTGGCAACGCACTTTCCAATATCAGTGGGTATTTTTAATGGGATTTGGTCAAATGCCTAAAATAAGGTCTCAAGACATTTTTGCATTGTATTCTATAGCAAGTACAGAAGTAATCCCCTACTTGTGATTTAAGCTTTTAAGTGTCCTGAAAATGAAGGCTGATGGGGACATTACACCGTATCGATATCAAAAACAGTAAATCTTATCTGCTAACTAGTCCAATTTTACAACTTCACTGTGATTATACTCACTATCTTGCAAACTATTCTACCTCAAACTCAAAGATAGAAAGAGCTGTCGGAAGCTTAATGTCGGTGACTTTGAAATCATGCCACCATGGTGTAGTTAGTTTATAGCCTAAATTTAGTTTGTTTTTTTTTCTTCTGGCGATTGTATTTAGATTTCAAAATTCACGAATGTTGTGTTCATTTGTGAATGTTATCTTGATAATGTTCTTCTTCTACTTGATAAGAATCATAAGCATTTATTGCTCACAGAGTTTATTTTTATCTGCAATAATCTAAGAGTCAATGGAAAAATCCAATTGGCTTTTTTTAGGGAAACAGTGTGATGCTAAATTATTGGTTGGCCTACAAAAAGACATCATCCCTGATGAATTCTATATAATTGAGACTTATTGGTGGGCTCTTTTGAGTGTAAACTATGGTGGCCCAGTAGTCCACAACACAACGAAATCTCCACAACACAATGCATAGGACTAATTCCGTTGTGTTGTGCTAATTTTGTTGTCTTGTTGCTTGTTTCCGTTGTGTTGCTGTTTTCCATTATGTTGTGCTAATTTTGTTGTGTTTGCAGCTTGTTTCTGTTGTGTTGTGCTAATTTCATTGTGTTGCTAATTTCATTGTGTTGTACACTACTGGGCCACCGTAGTAACCAACTTCCCTAAAACACCCCAGAATGAGTAACAACACACTAACAACCATTTAGAACATTTTTACAACCACAGAGCAGTTCTATGGCTACCACTCACAACATTCTACAATCGAGGCGGCGAGTTTGATCGGAAATAAAAATCCACTCTGTGGCACATAATTAAGTGAAATAGTTGGCCAGTAAACTCTCACTTACATTTGGAAGCACCCAGGATAGATTTTCCCATCAGTCAGTTAGCAGTAGCACAGATTTTCATTGTCACTGCAATGCTCAAACATCAGTTTTGGACTGGCTGAAACATCAAGATCTACAATGATTCATTCAATCAGCCTGAAGTACTTAAGGCTTTTCCGCATGCACTCTATTTGCAGGTCTCTTTATCATTAATTTCCTTGGAAGCCTGTGCATGCGTGCGTGTGAGAGAGGTTTGCTATTTAATCAGGATTGGCTGGTCGGGTCTGTGATGCTGGCAGGAAACTGGAAGAGAAACACACATACTCCTCTGCACCATATAAGGCACTGTGGCTCTGGGGCCTCTCACACAGGCACGCCTGCCAGGGATCTCTGATCTCTCTCTCACACACACACACACACGCCAGTCTGACAGCTCTCTCAATTCAGACACACTTTTACTGCTGTTAAGTTCTTCACTTTTTGGATGGATGCTCACCCTGTACTGCCTGTGCTGTTTACACCTGGTATTAACATCTGTTTTAAGCAATCCGTTTGACACTGAATGCCAAATACACACCCAAATGGGGTCCAAAACATTTGGCCAACATGCACCATCCATATCCAGCCCAATTTTTGTGTCTGTGCAGCCGTGTGCATGGACGTGTGAGTGATCTGAGCCATTCGAAAGAAAGATCCATGTGCATCTATTTGCACTCATGGTCAGTGAATTTTACTTTCAAAGGCTTGCTTGTTCAACTAAGCATGAGATGGAGATTTTAAATTTCCCCAAACAAAGAGTAATACTAGATGAGTCCATCTCCCAAAATCCTCATGTAAGCATTCCTGTAGCTCAAGCATTAGAGCATGGCGCTAGCAAAACCTAGGCCATAGGTTCGATTCCCAGGGAATGCATGAATTGGTCAAAATAAAAACATTTTTGAAGCATCTGCAAAATGTATAAATCTGCAATGTTCCTAACACAGATACTTTTATCTTGTCACATTATGTATTTTCGTTTATGAAAAACAACTTGAACAAACCAAATCTGCATACTTTTATCTATGTGCAATATTATACAGCTGTATGAGCTCTTTATTTTGATGCATTTGAGTTGTTTTTTCACAAATAGAGTGACTTACAGCGAGCGTTCCTGTACAGGAGAAATGGATGCTGCAGCTGGAAATCTAAGTCTTTAGTGATGGGTTCGGTCAGGTTGTCCATGCTCAAACGATTCAGGATGGTGAAGCCGTGCCTGGGGAAGGCAAGCCTGATGCACAGAAAACTGACATTAGAACTCACAACATGAGTAGGAAACAAAAGCTTATGAGTCTGATGGACCTACACAACTGTGAGTAGGTGTTTTGCAGTGTTAGTGCAGTCAAGTGTACAGTGCTATATCAGAAGGCTGAGGAATATCATGCAAGTTTTTTTTACACTTTAGAACAGAGTTAGATCTCTAGGGTTCTGATTCAGGACATATGTGTGTGTTGCTTCACTGTTGAAAACATCAGAAAACATACAAACCTGTTATAGACAAACAGAGTTCCCTCCACATCTGTCTTTTCCTACAGAGCACAAATGCATTTGTATATTTATATTCAACTTAAAATAAAAATAAGCTAACATTTAAAAAGTCAAAATATCTTTTAGAATAATCAATCATCTACCTATCCATCAACTGTTATTAATTTTGTTGATATCATGGTTTACCCATTCATTAGTGGTGTTGTTGAAGGTGTAAAGTGCTACTTGGCTGGCCAGGTCTGCGATGCTGCTGATGTAGGGGTCGAGTCTCTTTAGGGCAGACAGACTCATGGATAAACAGCTCCCGCCGTCACCTGTGCTTGCAGTCATGACTCCAGTCCAGTCCTGTTCTGTAAATAAAATATATGATCTTTAAATAAAACCATGCAGATGCCTGAGGTTACGGTTTACTAAAACATTCAGTTTTTGATCGAAAAGTGTTTAATTCCAACAACTGTAAGGCTGATCAGCAATTGTTTACATGCATCAGTATCATCACAGACTATTAGGGATATTTTAACTACTCCACAAAAATACTTTATCTGAAATATATTTAAATGTATGAACTTAACTTTATACTGCACGTTTTATTGTTTTGTAAAATGTAAAATCTCCACTGGCCTAGTTGTGTCTCAATACTTTATTATAGTGTAAATTAAGACATAAAACTTAGATATAAAGTTGAAAAAGTAAAACAAACCTTCACCCCACAAAAAAAGTAAAACAAAGCTTCACACGACGCATAGGCTACATGTGATGCAGCTGACACAAGAGCCAAACCCGGGTTGCATTGCTCCTTGTTTACAAGCAAGCAAGCAGAAGAATGCACACGCATGTGTCGTGGTGCTGTTGTGAATGCACGTTGAAGACTAACGTGGAAAAGAAATTGTTGAATAAAATCGTTATTTTTGTTTTCTTTGCACACAAAAAAGTATTCTTGTTGCTTCATAACATTACAGTTGAACTACTGATGCCACATGGACTATTTTAACAATGTCCTTACTACCTTTCTGGGCCTTGAATGTGTCAGTTGCTTTACTGTCTATGCAGGGTCAGAAAGCTCTCAGATTACATCAAAAATATCATAATTTGTATTCTGAAGATGAACGAAGGTCTTACGGGTTTGGAACGACATGAGGGTGAGTAATTAATGACAGAATTTTCATTTTTGGGTGAACCATCCTTTCAAAAACAATAATGCATGCACACATTTAAATATTTTATAAAGGTAAGCCCGTTTAAGTTTATTAAATAAATTAGAGCTGTGAAATTAATTTAATTGAAATATAAATAAAACGAATTTATGCTGATACCGGTAAATAAATGAAATACATTAGACTTGTATATGATTATACAGTGTATACATTCATAATACAATAAATTCTTAATACAATAAATAAGACTTAAATAAGACAATAAAATAAACTCTAAAGCAAATGTGAGCACCCCGTGCCAAACTCACAGCCATGATGCTGTGTGCTTGACATAGTGTTCCTATGCAAGTTATTACTGCTCTGCCCAAGCCAAAAGAGCCCACCCGCAAGTCTGTATTTTATTATGTCCCCTAGATTTGGTTCGAGTCTCTTTCATTGCAAGTCGTAAAAACGATGGCTAGTAAAATAATAGCGCGCCTCGATTTGAGGCAAACTTCATGTGTTTCATGTCCGTAGCACAAACTCTGCGGGACGGTTTACAACAGAAGTTTGGTAACGTTAGTGCGGAATAGCGGTTTGTTCAAATCCTCAACCGTGTATGAACAATAGTAATACTGATGCTTGCCACTAAGAGTTGAATAATTCATGCCTCCACAAGTTTATAAATGAAATAACCGAGGCCTTGGTTAGCTGCTGCTGCCCTGTTATAGATCGGACAGGAGTGAAACTTACCTGCACTTAAAATACCGCACAAATCCTAAACTTCCTTTAAAACGAGATTCAACTCTGTAAAACAGGACTGAAACACTTTACTTCACGTTCCGGTCTCCTGGTATATGTTTTCAATGATCTACAAACTAGTAAAACATGAATATATCGCTTTATTTCACTTATCTAACTCCTGATCGGCTACCGCTCTCGCCATGTTTGCGCTGACATCAAGACAGCACGAGCTGATCGCTGAGCTCGCGCGCACACAGGAAAAGTAATCGAGGAGCATGAATAATCGATTAGCCTGAAGCCCCGCCCCCTGCAGCTGCATGGCTTGAGCTCACCTGAGACCCACCAGACCTCTAGTTTTTACATCTTGATTGATTGTAATAAAGTGAGCTGACGCCGCAGAGTTTGTGCTGAAGGGGAGCCCTTGAGGATTTGAAGTTCTCGCATTCCTGCACTATTCATTCTCTGGTAGGCATTAAGTTTTTGTAATTGTTTAATTTGTTTGTGTGTACCTTCTAAAACACACAGGCTACATTTCGCAGTCCACAGGACTTACTGTCCTGCTGCAATTTTAAAAGTCAAACCTCCCTGTGTTACTGTAATTTAAAAGCGCACTTAGGATTTTTCCCCTCTTGTTCTATTCCAATAGAAATGAATAGCAAAACCACATAATCAAATATTTGTATTATCTCTATTTATCCCCCTTTGGACTTATTAAAATAATCATATCTCACTTTAAAATTGTACTAGTAGCCGAATTCATGCCTTTGCACATGACAACTCATGCCAATACAACATTAGCATAACATAAAAATGTGTGCACCCTTAAAAGAGGTTTCAACTAGGGATTTTACATGAAGGTTGCAACAGGAAAAACGTAGAAGCTGAAAGCTATTGTGCCCTTGAGCAAGACACCAGGGTTGCTTTAGAGTGACTGTCGTATTATAACTAAACAGTCTTTTCCAAATGCACCTTCTAAAGCACAATTTACTCAACGACACTTTACTCGTTTACCACTAGAGGGCATCACTATACAATTACTCGTGATCTGTCATTGTTCTCGGCAGGATTTCTGACCTATTCCAAGAGAGCACAGCAGCCCATGCAGTTTTTATGATGTTGTTAAAATTAATCTTTTTATGTACAAATTTGTATGTTTCACCTGTGCTGACAAATCTTGCCAAAAAAAAAGTTGGTAAACTTGATCAATTAACATTTACCTTCGATCTAAAACCTTTATGTTCAATATACTTAATTCCCATTACATGGAGATAAATAGGGTAAGAGTCAGTACAGAAGGGAAGAAGATGTGTCGCCTCAGTTATGTTTAGTTAATTATAGTGTTAGTAAAAGAGTCATGCAGCCTGTGGCTGTAGACTACGGCCACTGCTGTACAGGTGCATCTCAATAAATTAGAATGTCGTGGAAAAGTTCATTTATTTCAGTAATTCAACTCAAATTGTGAAACTCAACTTTTCCACGACATTCTAATTTATTGAGATGCACCTGTATATCACATTCAGTGTGCAGACAGAGACGTGATTCATCTTGACATTTAGTGTGGAAACTGGGAGGAACTTTGTAATCTTTGAAGCCATGCATTAACCAGTTTTCCTTCTGTACCAATGCCCGTGATTCTTTGGATCCCTGGATTCCCAGAAGCTTATGATTACAGGGTGGCACTGAAAAACACTTTGTGAACATTTCCTCTGTGCTTTGCATAAACATACCAAAGTTAATCAATTATTTGAGGATGCTGATGGGAAATCGCTGACCTCTGTCATTAACTTTTGTTCAAAGCCAAATTCAATCAAAGAACTTGGCCGTAGATTGGACGCCTGAAAACCTGCTGTTTTGAGTGCCTCTCTTTCCTGCTACATGCTTCATGATTCTTCTGAATGATTGAAAATTCAAAATCTGCAATTCTGATGCGCAGAGAGTGAGAAATGATAGTCTGGGGGCAGGGGATGTCTCTTGGGACATGTGAAGTTTTCTCATGGCTGGAGGGAGGGACCAGGGAAGGGCCTGCTAAATTCATACTAGGCCGTACTGATGAAAGATTCTCAGTCATCTTGCAGAAATTCCCAGGCCCCATCGTCCCCTTTATCAGAGCCCACCAGTCCTGCCATGGGAAGATCAGGCTGGTTAAACCTCAGCTGAAGGGATAAATCAGCCCCGACACCTGCTGCTGGAGAACTCAACATTCTCCCAGAAGTGGCATCCCGGCAGGCAGCAGGCAGTGGATAATGTCTAAACATGGTGCATGGAGCCGTGACTGTGAGCGTATTTACGCCAGATTGGTTGTGGTACAAATCATCTTCTGACATGATTCCGGACTGTAAAAGAACACGAATCGGTTCTTAGTCTAGCTACGCTTCACTGTATTGGAGCTGATTCCCAAGTTTGCTCTCTCCCCCTCAAGAGATACAGCCCGTGTGGAAAAGCTTGGAGGATTTATTCTGCTTTCTAGCGCAGTCACATCTGGAAGCAGTCAGGGAGTCTACAGGGGAGGGGGTCTGGTCGTCAGATCATTGCAGAGAAGCTGGTGGTGTGCGCTCTCTCTCTGCAGGGCCACAGACTGACTACTCCCCTTTCTCTCCAATATGGACTGGACGCGGCCGATTCTGCACTCTATTTCCTAACGAGGCGCGACGCAAACTACGCCTGCTGTGGAACATCTCAGATGGAATCGATCATATGTGAAGATTGAAGCCCGTGAGATCTGGAATATACACACCTTTTACCTTTTGCTGCGCTTTCTGAAACGGTCTCTGAAACCTACGCCCGCTTTTCCTGCGCTTCTCCTGGCTCTTGCAGCATCCTTTTCGAACCGTTTCCGAGCGTATCGCGCCGATTTGATTATCGATTATCAGCAAGCGGCGCTGGTATCATGTTTCTTAGGTAGGGCCCGGATGTTCCAAAGATGCACTGGTTCGTTTTCTTAGGTGGTTCCTGCGATTATCCTTTCCTGATCTTTAGCTCCATAATGGGGATCAGGTAATATTAACTAAGCCGCAAGAGAAGGAATATCTTACGCTTTGCGTTTTTCATTTTTTTCTTTCATTTCTTTCCCTTGGGTTGTTTTTTCCTACCCCCTCCTTTTTTTTTACAACCTTTTCTTCATTCACCTTCGGATAAAGCTGGACCACATATATGGTAAATGAAAGCAAAAACATGTATATACCGGAGGACACCCTTGAAAACCATCAAGGTAATTTCTCTATTTGTCTTCCCTCTGTTTGGAAACTGTGTGTGTGTGTGTGCCATATGGATGTGTTAGGGGGTGTATGATGAGTGTGTTGGCATTATCATGGGCATTACGCGGGGGTGTACCCAAACCCGAACCCTTCCATTTTCAAACACACTATATGCATGCGCACTCATATCTCCTTTGGAGGACGATCAACAAATGTCATGCAATATAACCACTCATGCCCGACAGCTATTTTATTATTATTTTGGAGGGAAATGCGTTAATGTAGTTGATGAACTTGTTGGATGGCTCGCCACTGCTTGATCATGCATATAGATCATGTGGTCAGAGACGCGCGCACAGATGCCAATCGATTATCCTGTCAGCTGCTTCAGACTTAAAATGGCCTTTTAATCTTTTTGTGCGGCCAGACTGCATTGATCACAGTCCAGCAGCTAAAATGAATTCTGGGTGGTGTCATCAGCGCATAAGTTCACAGTGATTATTCTGTTGCGAGCATCTCAAATGGTGAAATGAAGCACCGTCAGTGATGCCCCCTCATTCTAGCGTGCATCTGTTGAATTCCCCTTCTTATCAGACAGCTGGTGTGGCGCAGCAGTCTCCACAGGTTGCGCGCTTGCGAAGAGCGCGGAGCCTCACTCTCTTCCCTTCACAAGATCCCCCTCCATCCAGGGCCTCCAGCCGTCGCCTGTTGGCGCCGTGGCAACGGAGCTGCCGACCTATAGCAACAGCACGGCTCGCGATAAGCCCGCTCCCCGCGCGCTCACCTGCCGCACCTGAGTGAACAAACGCATCCGAGCAAAGCCTGTAAATTGCTGTCAAAACATTAGCCCCGCCCCCTCAGGCCTACTGCACATCTGTCATGCAAAAAGGCTACTTGATTATGACAACTGGAATAATGATGTTTCTTTAGCGCTGTCTGTGAGGGACAGTGGTGCGTTTTTCATGGCCCGTTTGATTGAGTGAATAAACTGAGATAGACTCTTTGTTTGGAATTAAAATAGAAGCAGGACGACAGTGATGGGAAAAGGGTCCCGAATCTAATTTTAGATGCTTTGTTTTGACAGCTTTGGCAGTAAACGTTTATCTTTGATCAGCTTGTCTTTGTTATATTCAGAGTTGCATCTTACATCTTTACTCTTGATGCTGAAACATCATCACAACATTTTCTTATAACTTTTCAGTTTCTCTTAGTAATTGTTTGCTAATTAGAGAAAAGTTTTGCTTCTAATGACATAAACAGTACTTTTAAGGAATTTCAAAGTGATGGATAAAAGATGAGATGAAGACTCCAGTCATATCAGTTATCTAGACCAAACTGCAACCAAAGTTGCGATCATATGACCAGATGTCTCATACAATTGACTGTGTTACTACTAACAAATAGTGCAATAACATACATTTTACGTAGTGCTTTGAGATGTCATACAAGCATAAAGAAGTGTGCAACTCACAGCAACTGTTATGAAAAAAAAGTGCAAAAGAACAGCCAGCCATGTAACCACCAACAATGCACAAAAATAATTGCAATTGAATCCAAAATGTTATATTTTAAAAGAATGTTTTATTAATGTGTATAGTGTGAGATAAAAACTGTTGTGACGTAAACAACTTCATGCATCCAGGCCAACAGGTGTCAGTATAAAGTGGAAATCCACTGACAAATAAAAGCCAGTTAAACGTGAACAAAAAACAACTGAATGATTAACCCAACCTTTAGTAGACTGCATATTTGTGTCCTAACAGAGCAGGATCTCCGAGGTGGCCTGTAGCCCAGCAGATGTGTTCATGTTTGTGTTGTGTTGTGGTCTACCGCTGCTGATGAGGGCAGGCTTTCAGGTAAAGACAGCCTCAGTCAATCACAGGTCCAGAGCCGAGCGACTTATCACAGCCAAACATGAACCTCTTCTGCTGCACAAACACTCAAACAGCAGGAAGATGGAAAGCATGTTTTGTGCACTATGATACACTGTCACTTTCTGGAATGTTGAATGTGACTCATGAAGTGCTTGAATGTTTGTGTCAGAACAAGCAGTTACTGAGACACGTTTTGTAAAATTTTTGTTCTGCAGTAGACGCCTTTAACCAGGGCAGAAATACTGAATTAATGCAGTCATTGCATTGATGTTATATCAGCTGTATGCTGTGATGAAATTATGTCACTCCAATCATTTATAAGGCTTTTCATAGAAAAATGTCACAGTGTAGAGACATGTGTTTGAAATGGCTCGAAAGTTTTTAGTTTGTGCATTCC